TCGATCTGATTCAACTTAATTACGAACCAGACGTGCAGTTGGCAAGTCAAGGACATACAAGAGTGAGTGCTCAGGCTATGCTTGTGTATAGGCTGAAATCAGCCAATATGATCTTGAAACTACTTGATGAAATATATAAAGATCAGATGTCTTCCATGATGAGCATTCAGACTCGATTGTTTACTCGTAAATGTCCTGGAATTCGAGAGATACTTTTGAAGACATCAAAGTACTTTAAAGACCCAAAAATGATTCCACTTCGACTTTCTGAGATTTTCGGCGACCCTCAAGGTAGATATGTCAGCATGTTCCCAAAAATGACCCAAGCTGTTGGATCACCTAAACCAAATGAAGCTACTCAAACGACTGAACCAGATCAATCAACCGAAACTGATATACAAGTGGATTAAATCTCGATACATGACATTCACCATTACTATTCTGTCACTGCTGTATTCACGTAAAATGGACTACTTGTATCTTGCAGTGACGACTTATTGCTTGAGAATACACAACACTTGAATACTTGTTGTGTTCCTATTAGTCATTCAGTTGACTAGACACGATCAATTGCTTAATAAACAATATCCATCATATAATACACATCAAACTATGCATTTTATACATATATTGTTTTCATTTGGTAATCATATGTTGTACGATGCACAATCACCCGATTGATGTATTGCAATCTAGATATTGTAGTTGACTGTTCTGATACTATCAGACTGTATTTTGTTGTATTCTAAAATATCACACACGATCGCAGTATAGTCCAAAACAACAACAATTGTACATTTTATTAATACAGTTGTTTCCATGTCAATCACACAATGTCATCATGTCCGAGTTGTAATTGACACAAGTTCTAGTGATATGATATTGACTAGTATTGTAGTGTGAGTATTGGTTCAGTCATACAAACATGATCACAAATACCGATAAACCTTGTCAAATAATACAATCAACATAAACTGTCCAGTCAACCAACAGTCATGCCATCAAACTGGTTGTTTATTATATCGATTCCATTATTTCGCGTCGCGTTTACATGAATACAGCAATGATTATATAGGGACAACTTTGATTCGAATGGGGTGTTTTGGAAAGGGTGAACTAATTGATCCAAAATAATCAGGTATTACAATTTGCTCATTAGAATCCAGCGTACACTCAAACCGTCTGAGCAGTTCAGGCAACACGATTGTTTTGATGGCCATCAATACTACTCGTTCACCCAAACAATGATGCTTTCCAATTCCAAACTGTGGCATATTCATTGGTGGAATAATCTTGGGTTTACTGGTTGTACTTTTGTGATTGCTTGGTAACCACCGATCGGGATTGTATACATTTGGGTATTCGAACAGTTTAGAATCAAGTGCAACACATCCAGGAGAAATACAAATCAGCTCGCCTTTTAAAATCTTGTATCCACCAAACTGAGCATCGCACAACGATTTCCTTAAAAGTAAAAGCTTCATATATAAACGTCCGGTTTCTTTTATACATGCAGTTGTAATGGGCATATGCGATTCAAGATTTCGAGTGCCAGAGGATGGGTAAAAGTCGGTGAATGTCGAGTCGGAATCTAAGCTTTCAGTGGTTTGAGTAGGTACAACTTCGGCTCGAACACGTTGTTGAAGATGGGTATGTTTAGCAAGTTCATAGATTGTCCAGCCCATATTGGCTGCCGTGTTTGTATGTGCAGCCAAAAAAAGTGTAAGCATAAACCGAGAGATATCAGCTTCAAGTAGTCTATTTCAATCATTAGATAAAATATTTTATATCAATATTGCATAAATTGAGTGCATTTGCAAATAGGAGTGCTTGTAAAATATAATCTAAATAAACGACTTTAAAACTTACACGTTACACTCGTGGCAATTAAGCAGTAGCTGTAGTAAGTCGCATTGGACGGGTGCATTTGCATTGACCATTCTCCGTAGTTTAATTTCATGACTCACCCATTTAAACATGGTTTCTATTGCTTTTTGCATTCTGATACAAGGTGGATGGGGCCAACCTGGAAAAAAAGAGTTCAATGGGCTGGCAATATCCTTTTCAATCTGCAGTATCAGTTGAACCATGTCATCTGCGTGTGCTTTGTAAAACTGTTTACCGAGAATCCAAACAATGGCAATTTTAACGGCAATTGAAGAAGTCAATTCAAATACATCCAAAGTGCCTGATTGCGTAAACTCCATAATTGTAGCCGACACAACATCAGTCATCAGTGGATGATATGCGTGCAGCATTTTGGGCTGGTTAAGCGCTACCAATGAAACATTGAGCAGTAGTTTTGAAACGTTTAATTTTTAGATGAATGAATTTCAAGATCAACCTGATTATTACCTGTTGCAGTCAACTTGAGAAAAAGTTTACTATACTTGTCGGTCATGCCCTGAATTTTAAATGGTGGACACCGATCATAAAATGCTTGATCAAGCGAAAACTTTTGCATTTGAAACAAAGATCTGTTATTCAATGCTAATACTGGAGTTTTATACATGTATCTCACCTTGTCATCCAAACGAAAAAAGGCAAGTTGATACTAAACCAGGATATTCAAATTCATTAGCTCTTGCACATTTTGACATTACATGGATGACTCAATCATAAAAGTACATACAGCTGGTGAGATAAAAAAATGCATCTTGGTATTGACAAGATTCAATGTAAACGCATCACCATAGATTTCGCGCTGTTTGTTGAGAAACCCGATTGGATCCTAAACCAATGGTTAGATAAAAAATTGATGGTCGTATTCAAGCAAAATGAAGCACCAAGTAAAAAAGTATAACTAAAAGCCAGTTTCATCAAGTGATGGGTGTCAATTCACACCCCATCTACTGGACAACACTGTGTCTTCCCTGGTGATTGGCATGGAAACAGTAGTTGCCTTTCTGGAATATGCGACTACTGCTATACTATAACACGGGCGTATCTGTGATATTTTAGAATATAACAAAGGGTTTGACAACATCAAAAGCTGAATCCAATATCTGGTTCCAAATTTGGTGATTGCACAATGTTGGATATGCCAAAAAAAGCAATTTCAATTCAATTCAAAGCTATAATTTGATTTTTGTATGAACATTGTGTTTGGATAAAGAATTAAAAAGCAGCAGACAATTTGTAGAGGAGCGGAAAGAATATTCACCACTATATTCCAGAGTCAATCACTGCAAGATAGCGTTTCATTACATGAACATAGTCGTGACTAAAGTTGAGCAATAAAAGCACACTAGACAAGTAAATTCAAAGTCTTACCTTGCGAAAAGCTATTGCCGTTCCAAATAAAAGCATATCATTCTTGGATGGTTGCACAACAGGCAATGATGGCAAACTTCTTAATTCTTCAGTAAGCTGGTGCTTGAACAGCTTTTTTGTCGATACCAGATATATAGTCAGGGCAAATATCATCAACCATAAGATAGGTATATTTATTTTAGTTACAATATCAAGGATTATTGTACAAGTCATATTAGTCGAGATTAGTTTGAATATTGCAAAGTATTGAGAGATCTAAAACAAGCCCTTGTAATAAAGTAATTCAGCTTTTAAAGCATGTCAAGTGATGTGCTTTCTTGATCAAATCTCAGCTACTCTCACAAGGGAAGGAAAGTTGAACGTTGTCCTGCAAACTTGAATTGATCGCTATTGGCTCAAGCAACCAACATGACCGCGTGAATGAAGATATCGCCATGTGGTGACGTATTCAGGCGAAGGACGAGAGCGGAATAAAAAGTATTGATATTCAACCGTCCAATTTGATTTTGTTTTGGAAACATTCCGATAGCATCAAGCAGGCTGTTGCATTTTGGAAACGTCAACTCTTTGTAACTGTACGATTGGTTTGAGCTACCCTACAAACTGTATAGATGGAATGCTAAAGTTGTCGTGTTGAAATAGAATCAATGAGCGACGTTGTCCTATATTGAATCGACAGGATCAGCAGGTCGCTCAGTAAACTGACCGTACCAACAAGTCCGATTGTCGCTGTGATACGACACGATATATGCTCATGCCATTTAAAACAGCAGACAGTCTACCAATATTTGAAAAACATTGTCCAGGATGATGGTTGCTGGCAATCTCTCATTTACCTCTCCATTCTCACCCTTTTTGTTACTAGTCGTAAGTGGTTCAGTCAACACAATACTATCCAATAAACTGGCACACATTATTCCATCAGACTGGATGCTTATTACACCGACTACAATACGGCGGTAAAAAACCAATATATTGCTCGAGTAGCGATCACTGCTTACAGGCTACCACTGTGCATACTCAAAGCATGTGCGATCAAACGAACATAGCGTCAGGGTTAAAACTAACCCTTCTAGCCCTACAGTCGGTTGTGTATGTCTGGTGCAACTGATATGAACCCCACAAGTGTAATATGCTCGACTCCTGAAACTCTAGTTTAGTGTACTACAGTAGTGATAAAGGGTGAGTTTGATGTCACATGTCCCTTGTGGTAGTTTGATTAACCATAAAGCCCACAACTGTCAAAGCAACCAACGAATTGTGTCAACATCCCTTAGGGCAATAGTAGACACTCTTTGTGTTCAATAAGTTGACGAATGAATAAATTTCTATATAAAGCTGCACCACATCATCAAACTTGAGAGTATAACGATGATCGCAGTTATATTGATATACAGTTTTTTAATTTCTGGAATATTTGCAGGCTTGGATGATTTTTGTCAGAGTTCTACTGCCTCTACATCAGATCAGGCACCTTCCACTTCAGGTCAGCGTCAGTCACGCCCACCAAGTCCGCCAATTAGCGTCAAGAAAAATCATTGCTTCGTGACATACTTGCATTTGCAAGGTCCTTGCCAGCCTGGCGAGCTGGAAAGCTATGATTCAGCGGTTTCAACTATAAAGAATGCACACCAAAAGCTAAATACAGTAGTAAAAAGTATCAAGCGAGGAATGTCGATGATCAAACTCGATCTGATTCAACTTAATTACGAACCAGACGTGCAGTTGGCAAGTCAAGGACATACAAGGGAGAGTGCTCACGCTATGCTTACGAAAAAGTTTAAATTAGCCAGTATTATCATGAGATTAGTCAATAAGCTGCACAGAAAACAGTTGATTTCTATGATGAGCATTCAGACTCGATTGTTTACTCGTGAATGTCCTGGAATTCGAGAGATACTTTTGAAGACATCAGACCATTTTACCTATCCAAAAATGATTCCCGAAAAAATCAAAATTGTTTTTGGTAACCCTCAAGGTAAATATGTCAGCATGTTCCCAAAAATGGCCCAAGCTGTTGGGACATCTGGATCAAATGAAGCTACTCAAACGACTGAACCAGATCAATCAACCGAAACTGATATGCAAGTGGATTAAATTTCGATACATGACATTTAACCATTACTATTCTGTCACTGCTGTATTCACGTAAAATGGACTACTTGTATCTCGCAGTGACGACTTATTGTTTGAGAATACACAACACTTGAATACTTGTGTTCCTATTAGACATTCAGTTGACTAGACATGATCAATTGCTTAATAAACAATATCCATCATATAATACACATCAAACTATGTATTTTATACATATATTGTTTTCATTTGGTAATCATATGTTGTACGATGCACAATCACTCGATTGATGTATTGCAATCTAGATATTGTAGTTGACTGTTCTGATGCTATCAAACTGTATTTTGTTGTATTCTAAAATATCACACACGATCGCAGTATAGTCCAAAACAACAACGATTGTACATTTTATTAAAACAGTTGTTTCCATGTCAATCACACAATGTCATCATGTCCGAGTTGTAATTGACACAAGTGCCGATGATATGATATTGACTAGTATTGTAGTGTGAGTATTGATTCAGTCATACACACATGATCACAAATACCAATAAACCTTGTCAAATAATACAATCAACATAAACTGTCCAGTCAACCAACAGTCATGCCATCAAACTGGTTGTTTATTATACCGATTCCATTATTTCGCGTCGCGTTTACATGAATACAGCGATGAAAAAACCAATATATTGCTTGAGTAGCGATCACTGCTTACAGGCTACCACTCTGTGCATATTCAAAGCATGTGTGATCAAACGAACATAGCGTCAGGGTTAAAACTAACCCTTTCAGTCCTACAGTCGATTGTGCATGTCTGATGCAACTGATA